AAAACCATCTTCACCAAAACCATCTTCACCATAACCATCTTCACCATAACCATCTTCACCATAACCATCTTCACCATAACCATCTTCACCATAACCATCTTCACCATAACCATCTTCACCATAACCATCTTCACCAAAACCATCTTCACCATAACCATCTTCACCAAAACCATCTTCACCAAACCATCTTCACCATAACCATCTTCACCAAAACCATCTTCACCAAAACCATCTTCACCAAAACCATCTTCACCATTTCCCTCACAATAACCATCTTCACTATAACCATCATCACCATATCAAAGCTAGATTACTGCGACACAGTTTATAGTCCTGTACATGACTCCCAACTAAAGAGACTACAGCGCATCGAAAATGCATGCGCTGGTTTTGTTAAAGGCTCTTACGCTAAAGTTGCTGACGTCATTAATATTGGTTGGCTCCCTATTAAGGAGAGACGCGACTGGCACATGCTAAAAATGGCACACAAAGCATTACATCAATCCCCATGGCCAGCATATCTTCCGCTGAAAATTCAATCAAGTGAGCGAGTACTTCGCTCAAGCGCAGCAATGAAACTTCAAGTACCGCTAGAAAGTGGAACATTTCAAGATACAGCCTCGCAATTGTTCAATGCTCTACCTGCTGAACTTAGGAATTGCGAACATTTCGGGCATTTCTCACGGAGGTGCAAAGACTTTTTAATGTGTAACGCTAGAGCCTAGAGACAAATATTTTACATAGTTAAAATTTTAATCCTTAGTTTTAAATTTTCGTAGAGACTTTCTATTAATAGTATAGTATATTTTTATGTAAACTTTTGCAGATGTAGAGCCACGCTGTGGAAAAGCTGTAATAAACCATTATTATTATTATTATTATTAAAACCATCATCACCATAACCATCATTCCAACACTAATCTCACCTCCCACATCGTTGTTAGATCTGACGATTTTCGTCACAACCATCATCGCCACCATTATCATTTTGATATTTTCTTCCCTTCTAAATATCGAAAAAAAATTGCCTTTAGAGAAAAAGAGGAAGATCTAGAGAAACGTTTTGAATTATTGAACAGAGAACTTCGATTTTTAATGGCTGATAATAGTAAGTTTAAAATTGTTCCTAATTAGCCTTTCTCACGCCGCCATTTTTGGGCGGCATTTCAGCTGAAGTTTGCGAGATAAGTCCACATAACAGCGACTTTTTATATTTCTTTTTGGACAAATGATGATAAATTTGCTCTGTAAATGGTTAGTTTATTTTGAAAAATTGCTTTTTACATTGTTTTAATTGAAACTTGATGGTGTTTATGAGGTCGAATGTCGACGTCATAAACACCAAACTTGATGGTGTTTATGACGTCGAATATCGACGTCATCAACACCAAACTTGATGGTGTTTATGACGTCGAATATCGACGTCATAAACACCAAACTTGATGGTGTTTATGACGTCGAATATCGACGTCATAAACACCAAACTTGATGGTGTTTATGAGGTCGAATATAATAATAATAATAATAATAACAGTTATTTATATAGCGCTTAAATTATATAAATATTCTAAATCGACGTCATAAACACCAAACTTGATGGTGTTTATGACGTCCAATATCGACGTCATAAACACCAAACTTGATGGTGTTTATGACGTCCAATATCGACGTCATAAACACCAAACTTGATGGTGTTTATGACGTCCAATATCGACGTCATAAACACCAAACTTGATGGCGTTTATGACGTCGAATATCGACGTCATAAACACCAAACTTGGTGGTGTTTATGACGTCGAATATCGACGTCATAAACACCAAACTTGATGGTGTTTATGACGTCGAATATCGACGTTATAAACACCAAACTTGATGGTGTTTATGACGTCGAATATGGACGTCATAAACACCAAACTTGATGGTGTTTATGACGTCGAATATCGACGTCATAAACACCAAACTTGATGGTGTTTATGACGTCGAATATCGACGTCATAAACACCAAACTTGATGGTGTTTATGAGGTCGAATATAATAATAATAATAATAATAACAGTTATTTATATAGCGCTTAAATTATATAAATATTCTAAATCGACGTCATAAACACCAAACTTGATGGTGTTTATGACGTCCAATATCGACGTCATAAACACCAAACTTGATGGTGTTTATGACGTCCAATATCGACGTCATAAACACCAAACTTGATGGTGTTTATGACGTCCAATATCGACGTCATAAACACCAAACTTGATGGCGTTTATGACGTCGAATATCGACGTCATAAACACCAAACTTGGTGGTGTTTATGACGTCGAATATCGACGTCATAAACACCAAACTTGATGGTGTTTATGACGTCGAATATCGACGTCATAAACACCAAACTTGATGGTGTTATTTGGTTAACGAGAATTGTATGCCACCCAAAAATGGCGGATATTCGTCATCGTGAGAAAGGCTAATTACGTATAATAAGTTTCAACGTATAAAAGCATGGTATGAAAACTTTTAAGATTTTCTTTCAATGGTCCGTAAAGGTTCAGACACACCGGACGCGATTCGACAACGCGACGCGAATTTTCAGTTTTTAAAAACAAAGAAACCCGTCAACAGAGAAAAATTTTACAAGATATGCAGACCAAATAGCTAAAATTGCTTAAGTGGTTCCCAATATTTGAAAAACGTAGAGAAATATTAAAGTTAAATGTCATTGAAAATTGAAAATTCGCGTCGCGTTGCCAAATCGCGTCCGGTCTGTATGGACCTTAAGTCATCATCCAAAAAAATAAAAAATATCCTCCAAAATGATTTTCAACACATAAAAACAATAAAAGTTTGAAAAAGGTTCTCAAATAGTTTGGTCCTCTTCAGTTTTGGGATCATTGTTAGTGACATTGTTGCTTGTGGTCCCCTTTTCTTTTGATGAGAGGAAACGTTTTCGACAATTTTCAGAAAGTTTGGACCAGTTTGAGGCGTCTTTTGAATTTTTGAAACATTTCCTGTGGCCCCGCCTTTGCTAAGGCTAGGGTACCTGTGGTCCCCCTTTGCATTTGACCAATGTTTTTGTTGGGGCACTTTTGAGATTTTTTATATGTTTTTTTTTTAAATTTCGCTTTTTACTCTTGTAGATCGGGAGAAAAGCGCGCAGGAAAAGAAACGCGAGGAGTTATTGCTCGCAGAATTAGTTCGGTTGGTGAACAAACGTGATGAGCTAGTGAGGATAGAAGATTCACAAGTTCAAGAGTAAGTGTTTTTGTGAGAGAAAATTAGGGTATAATTTTTGAGCAAGTTATATTTGTAAAATTGATACGTTTGCCGTATAAACAAGAAGGACTTACGGTAATTAAGTATTTGAAAGAAAAAGAGTTCTTATTTTAAAATATTTAGTAAAGAAACGGAAAATAGTAATAGGTTAAAAACACATCAATAATTCACGAGGAAAACACAAAGGGAATTACTGCCGTGTCGTTAGTTTTATATGCGAAAAATCATGTTAGTTTACATAAACTTTAGCTTTGATTTTCTCGGTGTAATTACCTCCGCCAGGAGGTTATGTAATCATCTGGGTTTGTGTGTGTGTGTGTGTGTGTGTGTGTGTGTGTGTGTGTGTGTGTGTGTGTTTGTCTGTGAGCACGATAACTCAAGAAATACCAAACATATTCATACGAAATTTTTTCAATGCATTTCCCATCGGCTAAGGAAGAACTGATTAAAATTTGGTTGAATTTGATTAAAAATTGAACGAGAAATGAACAAAATGTTGTCTTGCTTTTCCCGTCAATTAAAAAAAAAACTCACTGAATGCGTAATTAGGACGTAAATTCTATTTTGTGGACTTCATTATCTATTGTCTTAGTTGCATTTCACACGACCGAAATTCAATGAGGGCGGAGGTATGCAGTCTCTGAGTGCCCTCTAGTTATAGATAACGTTGCTTTTAAAAACTACTTCACCAATGAACTCACAAGATTAAAACACTCACAGACACAGTCCATGCTTTATCACGTATAAGACACTCGCCTCGTGTTTATATACGATAAAGTGTTGCTGCTCGTGTTTTAAGGCAATTCCGCAGTTTTGCATTGCGCACTTTTACTGCGCACATCTTATAACTTATAATTTCATCCATTATACGCGAACACCGCGGAAAAACGTCTGCGCACGCGTCAACCTTACCTGTAATAGTATTGCGAACTTGATGAGAAGCTGTTCCGAACGTTTCCGAAGGCTCAAAATGGCGGTAAAAAGGAGTGACTTCATTGTGCGTCTTTACAGCCAGATTTCGAGTGCGAAAATAAACATGTCATTCTAAAAACTAGAAATAAATACAGCCAGAAGGTTCAAGAAATTGTATTGTACAAGAACATGAACTAAAGGTGATTGTTGGACATTTCTTTAAAAAAAACTATGTCGCCAAATATAAAAAATTTTCGTGTTCACAATAATTAAACTATAGGATTTATTCTACAATTTGAGTGGGTTAAGAAGCTTAACTTTTCGAGAGTTTTCTTAACTTTTTAGTTTGAATTTTTGTTTTGAAAAAATTTTCGAAGTCGTGTCCGTTAAAATCAACAATTTTTTACATGAATTATATTTCATTCCATACTTTAAATGCCAGGACGCTAATTTATTTCTTTAATGCATTTTACATTTCATATCCGAAATTAAAAGAAAAATCATTTCTGGATCTTGAAAAAAAATGCTTTATCAATGCATGTTCTCAAAGAAAGATATGTAAAGAAATGTGCAAAAGACATTTATGGATCAGAATTGTACACGTTAGTAGTTTCATTTTGCTCAAAACACAATATTTTTCAAAAATAATTACAAGATAGGTTTACTAAAGCAAAATCCGCGCTAAAAACGTCAATAAATATCGGGCTGTTTTGATTTTGCTGTTACTCGTAATGAGCGTCAAGATGGCGCCATATTGGAGTAAAGGTGGTATATATTGCGATTGTCATATCTTCTTAACGAGTTCGGTGACCCCGACTTTTTTGTGTGATTTTACTTTTTAAGTATATCATAAACTCCATGCCTGGGAAGTTTCAGCACATTCTCATTTCGGGAACAATTACTGCGGAAATACCTTAAATAGTAGATGAACTTGACTTTTACTTTCTGTTTTGTTAAGGGCCGAGAAGGCAGCACAGCACGCTGAACATGTTGTACGAAACACAAAAATTCCCAAGAAACAAGGAGATTGTTGTATTCAATAAGGTCAGGAGAAACAGAGAGATATTTAATTATTACAAGAAAATAATCGTTTATGAAATACATCATTTGCGTCGCTAAGATGCAACAAAGTTGAACGAGTATTCTTCTGCTTGAAATTGTTCAAAATCAGAATCTGTTTCGTTGAATTTTGTGTTTAATCAAGCGTGGTAAAACACTGGACAACCGACAGTGCGAGAAAATGCATAAAAAATGCCGATATACAGTATATAAAAAAATTAAATTTCAAGAATGTTGAGTACTGTTTAATAAGGAGCAGGAATGCAAGTGCTATTGAACGGCTTTCAAGACGACTACAAATTCGATAGATATACTGCCTTATTAGTATTCTTTAGATAAGAAATACTAATGAGGACACGACTACAATAAATACTGCTCATTAATATTCTTTATATAAAGATACATATTAGTATTCTTTATATAAAGAATACTAATTAGGAGTGTTTTATCAGGTATAAAGCCACTGCACGTGACATTATATTATCGTTGACATGATTTGCCAATAAGCTTATGAATTAGGGGCGGTCTGTTACAAAAGTGATTGGGGAGAAAAAAAAATGTGCAGGGAAACAGAAAGAAAGTAAGAAAAATTCGTGCAGAGACTTCTCAATAGGGAAAATTATGAGCTGAAATAAAAAATTCATGCAAGGGATTATATTTTAAAAAGTATCGACACACAAGCAAAAAAAATTAAAAAATATTCGTACAAGTTAAAAAAGTACCCTCCCCCCATCACTTTTCTAATGGACCGCCCCTTATTAATGAGTGTTTGAAACAATTACAATGCACTTTCAAAAATAAAATATATAAAAGTGCAAACCAAATTTTATCCTGCCATTTTTAGCAATTTCCATTTTCTAGCAATTTCAAAAAACATTTCTAGCGGTCAAATAAGTATAATAGTTATATTGCAGGGATTAAACTTTTTCGTGATCTTTCGGCCGGCCTTACCCGGCTATATAGTCTTTACTTTTCGTCAGTTTTGGCCATTTTTTCTATTTTCGAAAAAGCGGCCATAAACGGCAAAAAATAAGGCCGTAGCCTTAACTTTTTGCCTGTTTTTGTCCACTTTTTCCACTTTCGACAAAGCGACCAAAAACGCCCAAAAAGTAAGCTTATAGCTTTAACCTTTCGTCCGTTTTTGGCCAGTTCTTCCACTTTTGAAAAAGGGACAAAAAATAGGAAAAAAGTAAGGCTATTATTATTATAAAAAAAAATAAAAACACTTTATTAGCATGACCATAATTTACAAGGTATTGCTAAAGTAACTACTCTAATTATAACTATACAGTATATACCATAACAAGATATTTATATAAGAGAGAGGAAATATTAGTGTATATAATTAACAGTAAAGATATGACTATACTTTTCGTCCATTTTATGATTATACTTTTCGTCCACTTTCGACCCTTCACTTTTCGTCCATTTTTGGCCGATTTTTCAATTTTTGAAAAGAGGCAAAAACAGCAAAAAAGTAAGGCTATAGCCTTTACTTCTCTTCCATTTTTAGCCGATATTTCAATTTTTGAAAAAGAGGCAAAAAACAGCAAAAAAGTAAGGCTATAGCCTTAACTTTTCGTCCATTTTTGGCGACTTTTTTCATTTTTCATAAGTGGGCAAAAAAAAAGTAAGGCTATACCCTTTACTTTTCGTCCATTTTTAGCGAATTTTGCCATTTTTCATAAGTTGGGAAAAAAACAGCAAAAAAGTAAGGCTATATAGCCTTTACTTTTCGTCCATTTTTAGCGACTTTTGCCATTTTTCATAAATGGACAAAAAACAGCAAAAAAGTAAGGCTAGAAACTTCATGTATTAGCCAACAGGAGAAATCTAGGGGCCCCATCTAGCGTATTATTTTATATAAGTTTACTTGTAGGCGAAACGCCAGAAATGTTTTTTGCAGGGCACCGCATTTTAGTACTGTGTCTGGTTTGTGTAGTAGTCTGTGCTTGTGTTGAGGAACAAGCCATATTTTAGTTGAATATGGTTGGGTAGAAAGGAAAAAACACTATATAAAGATGACTAGGAAAGGAAAAGGTTTCTCTGGGATACAAAGGGCAATAATAAAGCGAAAGAGGAGAGCAAAGCATCGAGGAGACGGCTAAGACATCGTGATGATGAACCTGCGTGTGTATAAATGTGAATAGCTCTTTGGGGAAGACGATGAAATTACAAAACGGTGCTAGAGCTACAGAGTTGGTTGATGTTTTTCCAGGTCTGCCTGGCAATGATGAAGATGGATATAGGTTTAGAAATATAAAACATTCAGCCTCTGTGTTCTCTGAAATTCATGTTTGCGATGAAGGTATTTAGTGATGATTTGTTTTTAAATTGGCTTTGCCAGTTGGCCCTATCACCCAAGTATTATATTTGTTTGTTATCTTGGCATTGTATAAGTGATAAAATGAAATTCTTACATGTTGTAAGTTTTATCAGCTATTTTTGCTTTGTTTATTTATTATATAAATTATGTGCACCTTTGATATATGCCTTGGGCTGCTATGAGTCATCTCTATGTCGAACCTACACCTCAACTAATAAGATTTTGCCTTGAACTTTTAGGTAAACAAGAAGAGCTGAAGCCAACTTTTGTATAACTGAGTGAGTGATACAAAGTTGCATGAGAGATGGGTACATGGCACAACTTCAAAACCCAAATGAATGCCTGAACCCCTGGTATCAACCCGTATTGGCTTGATGTCCAAAGCATAAACATCACAGCGTCCACACTGTTCACTGTACTGTTGCTTCAGCTTTTTGCCATTTCCGTAGTGGTGCTGCAAGCAGAGAAATGATTATGGAGGGACTTTCCATACCTGCTGGTCACCATACAAGGCATAATTCCTTTGTATGTGACAAGAAGAGGTTAAGAAAATCTGATTTTCATGCCAACCAGAAGCAAACGAAACGTCGCGAATGACACGCCTTCCTGCCGATACAAAGGGAAGAGGCTCTTCATGAAGCTGAGGGAGTCAGTTTTGAAGCAGCAAGATTTTAAACAACCCCCTGTTTCATTTAATGCATGAAATAATGACTTGCACAGTCCAAATATTTACTATTGCACTTTTTAAGACATGGCAACTTTTAAAGCTGATTTTCTCCAAATACCTGTTTTTCGCAGTTGAGAAAAGATAACTCGACCAGTATTTGCTCGATTGTTATGAAATTTTCAGGAATTGTTGCTCTAAGAGAGCTTTCTTGGATAAGCATAGAGATTTTTGAAATGTCTAATTTTAAGGATGTTATGAATCAAAACGTGACGACTTTCTTGTTCACAAACTTTGACCAACCACTGTGTCAATTCCTTTTATAATATAAAAAAGTTCTATGCTTATCCAAGAAAGCCACTTGTAATCTTTCATTTGGCACTATAAATTATATTTTCAGAATCTATGTTTCATTAGCTTTCATATGATATATAGTTTGTCATGGTTTAGAGTAAAACCTGATGTGTTAT